GGCAATGCACTTTAGAAAATAAAACAGTCAAGTAAGACAAACATAAATAAGTAACTGAAACACTCCAGAGCAAAATTAAATATTTCTTGTTATGTTTATAATATTTTCCTTTGTCATGTATTCAGCATTCACTAAATGACAAGAATCATCTGTCTGAGCTGGGACAAATATTACTGTAGGAGTGGCCATTGCTGCTGACAGTATGCAGCTCTTCTTGACCCATCCCTCCTAGAGAAACTTGGAGAAATTTCTCATTTCATCCAGAGAAATATTCCCAGAGCTCCCTTCAGCACTCTTTAGTATGTGTTTATAGTTTCCAGTCATACAAAGACTTCCACATGCAATCTGTAGGTCAGCCAAGTTGGCTACCTTTTATTAAATAGACCCTTCTGACTAAACTTGGAGAAATCTGTGGAGTTTTACCATTAGTCACAGTGAAACCGAGGCTTTCCCCTGCCATCACCATACTTTCAAGTTCCAGAAGTACTCATAAGGGAGAGACCATTCAACGTTTACCCTGATCGAACACAGATATAGCAGTACACCAAGATGCATGCCAGGAAGGTAGCAGGTTCTCAGCCTGTCCCTGATGCCCTCAACCTCAAGATACGGAGGACAGTGTGCCTCTTGACTTGCTAAATAGCTGAAGGCCCATTCTTTATCACCCAGCTGCCTCCTCTCTCTGCAGGTTATGCAGCCCACCTCTCCTATAAATCATCCTATAAATGAGTCATTACACTGAACATATTTCCTTTAATTTGAATAAAGCATTGAGGTGAGCTACCGGACAACATATCTCTGATGTTTGTCTCAACTGAAGATTAAAACTGTAGAATCATAGAATGATTTAGGTTGGAAAAGGTCTTGATATCCCCAGGTCGAACCATCAACTTGACCCACTAAGTTCCACCACTAAGCCACATCCCTTAATTTACACATTCACACATCACTTAAATGCATCCAAGGATGTGGAATCCACCACTTCCCTGAGCGGCCTGTTCCAGAGCTTGATCATCCTCTCCATGAAAAAAGTTCTTCCTAATATCCTAAAATCCAATCTAAACTTCCCTTGGTGTAACTTGACTCTGCTTCCTCATGTTCTATCACTTACTGCTTGAGAAAAGAGTCCAACATCCTTCTCACTACAACCTCTTTTCAGGTTGATGTAGAGAAGGGTGAGGCTTCCCCTCACTTTCCTCAGCCACTTTTCATAATGTGTTTCCTAGGCCTTTCACCAGCTTTCTTTCTTTTCTCTGAACAGTCAGGTAATTAACTCTAATCAACATCCTTCTTGTAGTGAGTCTCAAAACTGAGCACAGTATTAAAGATGTGATCTCACCAGTGCCACATGCAAGGGGACGATCACTTCCCTAGTCTTGCTGGCCACGTTATTTCGGATGCAGCCCAGATGCTAAAAAGAAAATTACCAGTCAGCAACAATGATTCAGAAGTGATTTTCCACTTTTTGGTATCCAAAAGCTATTAGCAAGCATCAGAATGCTGAGTAATGTAGGCTGCCAAGTCAGTCTGTATGAATGTGGCGGGAGGCAGCAAAAGTATCCTGAGCTACAATCCAAAGGAAACTTGACTTGATGAATAATCATCTTATATTTCATATTAAAGAACATATATTGTTTTGCAATAGGCATAAAATAATTCCATCCTCTTCTGTTTTCAGCAAACTGTGCATAAATATCTTTCAGTAGAAAGTTTTGGTTTCCTTTTTTTTTTTCACAAAACAAACAAGAAAAAACTCAGTTAAAAGCTTACAAGAGCTTTCTTTTACAAAGTCCTTGAGAACTGTCAGTAGGCAGGGCTATGATTCTAGTGCTAAGGATCCTGCATGAAAATTATTATATGCTACACATAGGTAAAATAAAAATTGCAAGCTGTAGTATGTTACAAACATAAACTCGGCCATTAGATTAGTGGTTGTGTAAGACGGTGCTGAGCAAACTAATATCCAACATGCCACAATTTTTTATTCAACATCTCTTAAAGATGATTTTCCAACCCATTTCTGAAACAATTATCTTCTGTGGGTGTGAATAAGACCTTTAAATATTATTTGAACGTAGATTGATGGGTGATTCATTTACCAGAAATTGCGTGAATTCTCCTTAGCTGCAAATCATCAGTATGGGATCTGCTGAATAAATATGACTCCCTCTGCTCAAAAGCTGTGCACAAAATATTTTCACCGTTATTTAAAGTTTCTTAGAACTGAGATTTTGACCATCGGAATAACGTTAGCACCACCTAGAGGCACATATTATAACGACACTTATCCAGACCCGTCATTTTAAAGTGCCTGGTTCATGCCTTCACTTTCAGGAGGCTCCCCTTAGTCTATGTTTTTGAGAGTTATTATCACTCCAAAGTTATACTCCAAAGCCTTTAACCAAGAGAAATTTTTTCTTTTTGCAAAACAAAAATGTTCTTTTTGCCTATACAAGAACAGACAAACAGCACCACTTAGTACTGTTTTACTATTTAAAACAAATGAACTCCTATTAAAACTGTAATCATTGTATATCTGATTTTGAACATAGATGATCAGAACTGTGAATTGAGCTCTTTTCATTCCCGTAAGAATATTCCCACATGTAACCAGCATCAGGATTTCTTTGAAGCTCAGAAATATTTTGCCTCTGCCTTCTTGACCTAAATCACGCCAATCATGACTTCTAGTCATACTGTATGTGTCAAGGACTTCCATTTTCTACAGATGAGCTCTAATTATATAGAGAAGTTTTGCAGCTGATGCACCAATGCATGATCTTGTGTTTCATATTATTGTTTTCCGAATTTCTATCATTCTTTTGTCAAGACTATCTTATCTTTCTAGTAGAGCTATTCTTCATCCTCGTGAAAAAGTTTTGAAACTTATTTTCTCAGAAATGTAATCCACAGAAAACTAAAAGGTTTATGTTATCACCTCTGAATAGCTTCCTACCTTTCTGAAAATGTACTCTTTTGAAGATAATGCCTTCAGTACTTGTTTATTTATTGTATTTTATGTCAGCTAAAAAAAAAATAAAAATCATAGTTACTATATTCAGCTTTCCTGTAGTCCCAACTCCCTATTTAAAACTTCATAATAAAATACATTATTCTTCTTAGCTCAGAGACCCTTCAGAAATGAATTCTGTTAACTTTCATACTACAGCTTTCACTAGAAGCATCTGTGTCCCACTCATATCAGTACAATTTGTTCTTCAACCCAGACTGTGAAGTGAAATCCAGCCATCATCAGTAACCACTTAACAAAATTCATTTTAAAAATAATATTTAGTACTCAAGATACACATAACCAAGCAAGAATTAAAGCACTCAGCAGATACCTAACCTGACACAACAACACTTCTTTTAGGTTTTTTTTTTTTTTCTACAATGACAATTCAAATCTTAGCTCTTTTCATCTTCCTTTAAAACTTCATCTCAGTGTTACTTAGTTTTTCTTTCTGACTTCTTCTCATGGTGTAATGTTTAGTATTAAATGTGGAGATTGGTGGCCCTGCATGTGGCAAGGGGGTTCAAGATTCATGATTCATGAGGTCCCTTCCAACCCTGGCCATTCTGTGATCCTGTGATTCTGTGTGTCACAATTCAAGGCATTATTACCGCTCTTTCACCATTCTGTTTCAAGGTGAGATCTGTATCTTACTGAAATTATTTCTAGCCTTTTGCACTGGGATGAAGATTCATCTCCTATTTGTTCTAATCTCATCCAACATCCTCAATTGGATGAGATATAAACTCTTTCTATGCATGTATGACTGGTAGCAGGGTAATTTTCTTTTTCCTTGCTCTTTCTAATAGATACTTAAAAGCATATAGCTTAAGTCTACCATGTAACCCTTTGACACTTGAATGCCTCACATATTCACTCAAGACAGGTATTCCTCAAGCACTTTCGTATCATCCTATGTGCACTAGTGTCTTCCTGTACAGGTTGAGGCAGAAAAGCACATATAAGATAGCTAAATATTGCCAGTTACAGAAAGTACACATTTACTTTAAGTAAACATGAGAATGTGATATCTGGATTCCTAATTCTGAGAAAATTAATTCACAGACACACACAAGTTGTCCATGCACACCACTCTCTCATCCTTCATCATCAACTCAGTTTGTCCTCCAGACTCTTCAAATTTTTGTAGCCCTCTTTTGGACGTTTCTGATAGTTTTATGTCCTTCTTACGTTGTGGCACCCAAATCTTCACCCAATGCTCAAGGTGAGGCCACACACACAGTGCAGATCAGACAACTCCTCCCCTTGACTGGCAGCAATGCTGGGCCTGGTGCACCGCAGGGTATGGCTAACAGGGCACACTGCTGATTCACATTCTACTCGCTGTCAACCAGAACCCCCATATCCTAGGGGATAAAGCTTAAGGATTTTAAATCTTGTTTGCTACAAGCAGGTGACTTGTTCTGCCATATGGAAATGTGTAAAACATGAAAACAGTGGCAACACGTACCATTCAGTATGTACAGTTCTCTTGCTGACTAGACTGGGTAGCCCTTTTCCTAGCACAGAAGTTGTGACACCATCGCTAATGAATGTTTAATTCTTAGCACACCCACAATAAGTTACTATTAACTTCACAGTGCAGCAGCAGGCAGAAAAGCATGAGCCAGACAGGCTGCACACAGGGACAGAAAACGGATAGGGGGCCAAACGTATAGCAAGGCTGTGAGCTCCCAGGCACTGGAGGTGCACAGAAAGAGTGCAGTATCAATTAAAACGAATTGCCAGCAGGAGGAAAATATTAGAGAACTGCAAAGAACTGCAATGCTGCGGGCATGTGAGCAACCGCATACACCTGCGCGCAGGCAGTGAGGCAGCGATGCTCACACACCCTACTAAGGGCGGTCTCCCTACACCATCTTGGTTAAGGGCACGATTTCCCTTCGCCGCGACACTTCCGCCCCGGCTCAGTACGTCTGCTTCCTCTGCCCCTCTCGGGGATGGGAAGTATTGGTTAGCGCTTCGCTGCGAGGCTCTTTTTGGTGTCCATGCGGCCGGAGGCCGCTATGGGGCGCTCTACGCCGGGCTGAGCAGAGTAAAGCGGACGCCTCGCGGAGCCGGGAGCGGCATCGGCATCGGGCTGTGTCCGGGCGTAGCTGGACGATCCCCGAACCGAAGCGCTGGCCGCATTGAGTGACCGGAGCAGTTTGGGGAAAGGAGACGACCGCATTTCGGGTGACATCTGCCCGAGGACAAGGGGGAAGAAGAGTCAGGGCTTCGCCTCTCTGCCCTGCTCCGAGTGCAGCCGCTATCTCTGCCTGCCGGGGGAGCGAACCGAGCTGTGCGGGTGGTCCTTGCCCCGCGAGGGGCTGAAGCGCGATCAGGCTGGTGCAGATGTGAGTGCTGGGGACGAAACGTGCCGATCGATAGTATATTTGCCTTTCTCATTCTGATTTATTTTTTTTTCTTTTTGTCTTTCAGAACTTCCTTAAGGTCAGAGGTATTGCGGTGGCTGTGGCTGGTCAGTTGTGCTGGCATCCACAGATAACAGCTGATCACGGGTAACAGCTGGTCCTGGGCCTTTGTGAAGTCTGCACAATGCGTGTGTTTACTTCGTTGTCCTTTGGAGAGGGATAGGGCCCTTCAAGTCAGGTGCAGCACAGCTTGACTGCGTCCCAAGTGAGTAGGAGTTGAAAGGTAAATTAGTGGTTGGAGGAAGAGTAGGAATTCACAGAGAAGTTGCTTGTAAGAAGACATGTCAAGAACAGTGAGTTCTGGTTGATCTGTTAAATGTGTGGTTTGTGTCACTTGAGAGACAAAGAGGCACAGTATGCTATTGAGACACAGTTTTTGTAACACATAGGACTTCAGAACTGTGATAAATGGGCAGCCTCTGCTGAGGGTCTGGTTGGTTTGAGACTACATTTTTCTCTTTGTTAGTTTTCTAAATCTTGCATACTGACAGGTGTTATCTGGCTGTTGCTGAAAGGAGAGGATCTTGGTTTATGTGGTCAGACTGTATGGTTTTTATTCGGTAACTTTCAGAATTGTCACTAAGTAAGTCAGGCTGGTTAACTGTGGCCCTTGTTCTTTATCATCTCCCTTACATATTTGTCATTTGAGATTTGTGTGTGCTGGGAGAAAAAAGGAGTTGAAGTCCTTCCTTTTTTCCTACTGATGGAGTCTTCTTTGACCAAGAGGCAATGCAGTGCTGCCTTTCAGTTACTCTGATTCCAGAAACTGCACCATGTAATGACAAAAATATAATGTAGGTTTGAATAATACTTAGTGTTCAATTAAATCAAGTGAAATTAGACATTTCAGTTCTAAAAGAGTTGTGAGAAAACCATTTGTCACTCACTTCTAAGATATTATGGTTCTGAAATTCTGTAAGTTGTTAAAAGATTCTAAGCTTTTCCATGTTATTTTTGTGGATTATTCTGTAACTGAAATGTACTAGGGTTCCTCAATGCACCTCTTAAGTAACACGTCTGTTATAAATTAGTGGTGCTTACAAGTTTTTGTCTGATGTGGTGCTGTGGTAATTTCAATACAGCATGTAAATGTGGAAATAATATGACAAGCATTGAGCATTATAATTCATAACAGATCCATGGGATAAATGTGAGTTCCTCCTTAAAAGAGAGCATGGAAAGTTGCCCAAATGCCTTTATAGTACTGGCATCTATATGAATCTTTAATGGATATGAATCTTTTGTCTATCACTCTTTTGGGTGTGGATTGTTATTTTTGGCTTACTGGGTATTGTTGATGGTGTTTCGTTCTTTTGCTTTTCTTCACTTTTTCTTTTTTTTTTTTTTTTTCTAAAGAGCAACCCTCATAGATGACCTCAAGAGACTTTAGAGTATGCCCCTAGTTTGAAATGATGGAAAATTTACACCAGGTATAAGGAAGAAATGTTTTACAGTAAGGATGATGAGGCACTGGAAGATGTTGCCCAGCGAGATGGTGGAAACCCTGTCTTTGGAGACATTCAAGGTCAGGCTGGACCAGGCTCTGAGCTATGGTATCCCAGTTCAGTGCAGTGAAGTTGGATTAGATGGCCTTTATGGGTCCATTCCAATTCAAACAATTCTATGATTCTGTGTCTACTTTCTAATTCATTAATGTGATATAGAGCATTTTTGCATCTGAGATGATCTGACTTATCAATTCTCTGAATTTGTTTTTGTTTTAATTATGCTTTTGGCCTGGTGTTCCTCTTCCTAAAGATTGTAACTTTATTTCTTCAGCACTTATCAGAGTTTCCTTTCACTTCAGTTTTTCTAGAAAGCTTCTCTTTGCTTGTTAGAATGCAATTTAGAAGCAATTCCATAAATGCATAAGCTTTTTGCTCAAACCAGCAAAACTGTTCTAATTAACTTATTTTCTGATAGATGCATTCAAAGTGGTGCCATAGTGGCATTCTGTTTTCTTTTTTCCCACAAATTGTCTGAGTAAACGATCTATCTTTTCCTAGTGGAAAAAAAATGTTCTCAATACTGTGGCAAGTTTCATATCAATATTAAGACTCATATTTGTGAGTTTATTTGCATTTAGCTGCTTCTGTCATTAATTTTTATATTCATCTTAATATATGAATTAACTTTTCCTGTTACATTTTAAAATTCGTTGGCAATCTTTAGAAATGATTATAAAAAGTCTATCTGCAAAGATGTTCTATACCTTCTGAAAAAAAGAAGATATTGTGTAGGAGTGAGGAAAAAGAGTGTAGGTTTATGTTTACATTGCCTAATATAAGCTTGTCCGATTCTGGTGAAGTACAATTGTCATGTATTCCACTTTCAATTTCTTTAACATCTTCCTCCTCTTCATTTCTTTTACTACCAAAATTTGCTATCCTTCTTAGTTCCTCAGTTGCAGGTTTAGTTTTTCTTGACTAGAGGAAAGGAATACAAGAATTTTCAATTGCTGGATTACTTTGACTTACGCTGGAGAACTCACATATTAGAGACTTTGTGTTTCTAGTAGTTTCTGACTGGATATTAAGATGAGTAGCTCAGTTGACTTGCAGTTGATCTAGGCAGTAGTCACTTAGAGAAACAGAAAATATAGTCTTAAGATTTTTTTTTTTTTTTTTTTTTTTTTTGAGGTTGCTGCTTTTGAAGGTGTGGTGAAGGCTTCTTGTTTGTTTGTTTAAATGACTTTAGAGTTTTGTCCAAACTTGAAAACTGCAATTCTCACTTATACTTGAGTATTACCTAGGGCTATCAAATCTCAAAGGGGAGATTTTCTTCTCTATTTCACCTCTTCCCACTTCCTTGATCCATTTGGGATCAACTTCAGTTTGTTTGTGATTTTGTTTGGTTTGGGTCTTTGTATGGCTTTTGTGTTTTGTTTGTTGTTGTTGTTGTTGTTTTTTCTTCCAGAAGGTTGCAAGAGCCTTGGCTGTGTCCAGTTCTAACAGCTGAGTATATTGTTGTCTTTGCTAATGCAGGTCTTGACTCTTCTGTTTGTTCTTCTTATTTACACAAAGAGATGCTACAATTCAAGTTCTGACTTTTCTTTTTAGGTTATTTTCATAATGTTTTCATAACGCATATAATGCAATATGAGGAGCTTAGCAAATCAAGAACAATATAGTTTTGGCAAATGCTAATCCCACTTCTTTGTGAAAGGAGAGTTGCTGTCAGAAAGAAAAGTAACTTAGTCTTACATACTCAGGCAGTATCCTTGCCTTTGTTCATTGTTTTTAAATATTATACTTCCATGCGGTCTTAGGAACGTTTAGATGGATGGATGTGTTCTAGTCTTGCTCTCTGACTAGTCACAGTCATCTCTGCAGTATGAGAAACACTTACCAGACACTAGAAAATTGAGATTGCCATTTACTACTATTAGTGTTAGGTTATTCTGGTTGCAGTCAAGTTTGCCCATGGCTTCTGTATCCTGAAGTATTTGGAAGGTAGAACAGGAAAACTTTTCAAGATGAGCAACCTAATGTAATATCAGTTATAAAATGCTTAATGCTTGTTGAAGAGCTGTCAGATGTGCAGCTGTGTTATGAGAATACACCTTAAGCAGAGGCTTATATCCTTTATTGTGAAATAAAGCTGAGAAACTTGAAATGCCTAACTTGTTCTAGTGTGACTTGATGCTTTCTCAGAAAAATCTTGGCAATGAAAGCCAAGGAACCGTCTGAAAACTGGTATCTCACAGATCTTTTCAGGGCATTTGAATACTTCCTTAAAAAGACAACTACTAAACCCAATTCAGAGAGCTGAGAAGGTAACTAGCTTGGACTTCCTTTCTCCAACTGCCAACTATTCACATTGGGTTGCTACTTAGCTTATGTTGGCTCTTCTCTCTAAGAGAAACACAACTCCTGTAATATAGGAACTTTATAAAAAAATAAACACTGCTGTAAAAACCTTTGTTCTCCTGAGAAATTCTTCCTGGTTCTGCTGCCTTCTTCCTTAGCATTGTTTCAGGGTTAAACAGGTAGGATACCACTCCCTCAATCTAAGTAGTTCCCCAAATGTGCTGTCGTGTTACTCTGCATCTGAGAGCTTTCTGCTTGTTAGGTATAGTCTGTAGGTTGTTTTTCTGTGGTTTTTTTTAGTGTTTTTTTTTTTTTTTTTTTTTTTTTTTTTTGTCTGCTAATGACATTTCAATGAAGGGCTGCAACAGTTTTGAGAGATTATGTGTTGTATTGAAGAGTGGTCACTGTACATGATTCATACTAAACCAGTATCCTGATCTTTGCTATCATCTCTTTCTGGAGACTGCACTTGATATAATAATATATATCGGACAAGGCTTGTGAAGGGAGGTAATCATCTTTTATTAGGCTGGCTTATAAAGGGACACAGTTCCAGGCAAGCTTTAGGTCACAGAGTGACCTAGACACACATCAGATCTTTTTTCCATCTACATTAGTCTAATAAAAGGTATTACATCTCCATGGAAACACTGCCTGACTTGCAGTCTTGTTAATACAAGGCTGCAACAACATGGCAACCATCATCAAAGCTGACCAACATGCTATATACTATGTACACTTTCCAGTCCCCACTGTGCTGTGTGCACTTATTTCGTCTCTAGGGTTTTTATATTCAAGATGTGATTAATTATGCTTTGATCAACAGTCTTTCTGTTAAGTAAATTTTGAATCCAAATTTAGTTTGTCTGTCTTGAAGACTTTGATTTTGGACTGCCTTTGCTATCTTTCAATATTGCTTTAATGTGTGTTTTAATAAATGAGATCCAGTTTAATAACTGTAGAAGCCTTAAAGGTCATTCATGCTTTGTATACAAGCATGTATAATTTATCAGAATATTTGTCACTTTTTGTTTTGTTTTAGCTTAATTGTTTTCACAAGCAGACAAATACTTCATGGGATAACCTTTACTGCTGTCTGTTGTTTGCCAAGTGAAAGATACTACAAACTTGTTGATGATGCCTATTTTATGTAAAGTGTATCTCCTACTTGAGATAAGTAACTAAATTGGAAAGCAATTTAACTGGTGTTTTAGGCTGTATCAATAATGATCTCTTAGCTTCCTATATTCTATTTCCTTAGATCTTCTCTGTTCTCATGAAAATACATTTTTACTTCATGATAAAGGAAGACTCAAATAATTAATTTGAAGAGTTTAGTGTTAATTACAGAACTTTTTTTTTTTTTTTTTTTCTGCCAAAGCTGAACAGTACTGAGAGCTTCTCAAATGTTTCCTTTGAGCTTTTTGTGGAAAAAAGTTCCTTTGCAAGGAAGCTCTTGATACCAAGCGTAAGCAAGAGAGACATCAAGTCTGAGGCAGTGATTAGCCATAGCTACTGAGTGATGCCAATATAAAATTTTAGATAGTTTAAAGTCATGTGATTATGTGCACTTCTCAGTGGACCTCAGTGACAGAGGTATGGGAGTGTACTGGTGTCAGCTTGCAAATGTGAACTGTAGGGACTTATAAGCAATATTATGGTTTAGGTGAGTAAGAACATCAGTTACTACATGGAATTCTTTGCTTATATCCTTAAGCAGCCATTCTGTAATTCTAGGAAAAGACTTAGATTAGAAGGGTCCTTGAAGATCATCTGGTTCCAACTTCTCCACCCGTGCCACAGGCAGGACTGCCATCCGCCAAATCAGGCTGTCCAAGACCTATCCATCCTGGCCTTGAACATGCCCAAGGATGGGGCACCCACAGTTTCTCTGGGCAGTCAGTGCTCACCACCCTCTGAGTAAAAACAACAACAACAGCAACAAAACAAACAAACAAAAACAAACAAACAAAACCCTTTGCTAAATGTAATCCAAACCTACCCTCTTTTAATTTAAAATCATTACCACTTGTCCTGTCATGACACCCTCTAGTAAAGAATTCTTCCCCATCTTTTGTTTAGATACTGGAAGGCCACAAAGGAGGCCTCCCTGGAACCTCTTCTTCTCCAAGCTGAACAAGCCCAGCTCCCTTAACGTTTCTTTATAGAAGAGGTGCTCCACCTCTATCATCATCTCTGTGGATTCCTCTGGACTTGCTCCAACAGCTCCATGTCCTTCTTGTGCGGGGGGACCTGGAGGTAAACATGGTAGTCAAGATGGGGTCTCGCAAGAGTGGAATGGAAGGGGACAATTGTTTCCCTCACTGATGGCCACACATTGTGTTTGTTTGTTTGTTTTAAGGTAGCGAAAGATACAATTGGCTTTCTGAGCTACAACCACTAATTTCTAGCTGGCTCATGTCTAGCATTTTTTGTCCACCAGTACACCTAGTATCATTGCTCAGTTATAACTATTGACTGGTAAAAGCCCATGAATAGACCTCTTGTTATTTTTTTCCAGATTGTTAGTTTAAGTCCTGTAGCCAAACACTGGGCCTACAAAAGAAAAAAAAAAAAAAAAAAAAAAAGAAAGAAATTAAGCTGCAATCCAACAGAGTCTGCTCAAGAGCTGCTTGCAGAGAACCTCTTAAACTATTATCTCTTATTAATAATTCTTTCCTGGAGCAACTGGTGTTGTAGA